AAGTGTTTCTGTGGAATGACTGGATACAGTAAGAGATGTATCATCGGCAAACAGACAAATGTTTGCCTTGTTTGCGCAAGTGGGCAAGTTGTTTATAAATAGAAGGAATAAGGTCGGTCCGAGGACGGAACCCTGGGGCACACCTCTCGTGACTGAGGCGTCAGCAGAACGATGATACTTTAGAAGACCTGTTTCATCGATGGCAGGGATTGCTACATACTGCTTTCTTCCTTTAAGGTATGATGTAAACCAATCAAGAGCAATGCCTCTAATGCCAGCATCATGCATTTTTCCCAGAAGTAGACCATGGTCAACTAAGTCAAAAGCACGACTCAAGTCAATGAACATGCCAGCCACAGACTGTCCCGAATCAATGTCTTTGACTACTTTATTTATGAGGCTGAGTATGGCCTTTGTTGTGGAACTGTTCTTTACAAAGCCGTACTGTTTTCCAACTAATATATTGTGTTTCTCTAGGAAATCGCACAGCCTACTAATTACTGCTTTCTCAAAAACCTTCGAGAACGTCGAAACTAGACTTACAGGCCTGTAGTTATGGCAAGAACTTCTATCTCCGCTCCGGTTTGATCAACCTGAAATTATATTTACGCCTACTTTAGTGTTTAGTTTTATTATCTACCGAATTACATTAATTCGTTTGCTAGAAGGAATATAAGTTTATTCACTCCGAGGAAAATAGTTTATCTATGGGTGGTAACAATAATAATAGAGGGCCAAGTATGGGTCATTGCGGAACTCCAAACTCAACTAAAACCAGTAAAACCTCCCCAAAAACCTAATATTATTCAAACTCAAAAGTACTCGATTCAACGTGGCTATTTACCCGATCCTATTCCTTCCTAAAAAAGTCCCTTCCCATAATACGTTATCATTGCGATAAAATCTCACACAGGTTTACCTCAAATTCTACAGTTACGTGGGATATTTCCGGCCAAACGAATCTATTTTAGAAGCGATTCTGTATGAAGTCAAATGAAATCGAATAAGACGGACTAATGGATCTCGTCGCAACAACAAACAGAGAGGAGAAGAAAAACAAACGGGGAATATTCGTGTTTTGACACTACGGGGGCTAATAGACTTCTGACACGCCGCCCCGCCTAGGGACCTCCCAAGTTGACAGTAGTTACAAGAGAAGTTTGGCACATCTGATATTGTTTAGTCATAAAAATCTATGCATCGATAAAATTATACGTATCAGATATGTATCTGTGCGCTGTTGAATATGGTAAAAGTTTATTGCATCGGGTAAAAAAACCGATGGGATTCAGTTGACGTTCACGCTTTACGTCGTTTATGTACATGTAATATTACACTTGAAGTATATTATGTTTTAGTTCATTTTCCATAAATGAACCCCTCTTTTGAGTTCATATCATTATGATTAAGTGACGGAGAATGGTGACTCTGTTCAACTGATTCGGGCTATTCTTGGTTTTGATACAGTGCTTATTAATTAGATGTGATTTGTCAAAATAAAAGCTACAATTTAGTTCTTTTTGCTTTATGACGCCACACTTTTCAGCTTGTGGAGTAGGTTCTACACGTTTCAGCCATTGATGAGAAAATTCATGAGAAATTTTTCAAATATGTGAGATTTACACAGTATGGGCTACTTAAAATACATATTTTATGAAGTTTACAAATATATCAAAATGTCTACCACATTCGAATCAATTTAACGATGTAAATCTCAGATCTAAACAAATACACCACTTTATTGCATATTAAATATAGGCTATATAAAAATCCAGATCCAGTTTTGTAGCTTAAAATTGTTGAAATGTTTTACATATTTAAAACAACATTTGTTTCCTCGTTTAGTTATATTAATTACTACTAGGAAACATGCTGCTCAGCAGCTTTAAAATAAATATAATATCCGAGAAATAATGAAATCTATGATTTCTGATTGAGTAATACAGTATCTTGAGCTAACCTGATTCAAACGATCAATAGCTCAAATTAAAGCCTATAATTTACTGATTATTTTGAGTCTACAGGACTCGTGCGTTAAAATAAATATAATATCCGAGAAATAATCAAATCTATGAAAAAAACATATAGAAAACATTACCAACACACTGGAGTTATTAATTTTTAATCATATAAAAACCTTATGAAAAATAATTTTTATGTTGGTTTTTCACCTTGCGTTTACTTGAAATTCGTACGATTTGAATAAATAATAGCTTAGATTAAAACCGGTATTTCACTGAAGGTTCTCAGACTAAAATATTCAGATTATAAAATTATAACTGGTAAAGGTACATCTAAGTAAGAATTAGAAAATAAATCAAATTATGTGGTTTGGTTGAGTAATACAGTAGGTAAATATTTTCCGATGCTTTATGAGAAAACTTGGCGCTTCAATTTGAGACCTCAATCATAAAAATCGGTCGGGTAGAAGAGCCAAACGAACTCGGAAAAAACCAAATTAAACTCACATAAGAAATACATGGGGAGCAAATTTTGTTAAAGTGTAAGCCGAGTGGGATTATAGATAAATACATACCGATGCTGGATGCTTGATGGCAAATCTGTGCGTACATGACTTCAATTTGAGACCCCAATCATGAAAATCGGTCAGGTGGAAGAGCCAGACGAACTCGGAAAAGGGAAACAAAATTTAACTCCCATAAGAAATACATGGAGAGCAAATTTCGTTAATATAAGCACAGACAATATACCATTATTTCTTTTGTCGTTGTGGTATTTCTTTTGTCTATGCTATAAGCTATCTGTCTATCAATAATTACGATTTGTTTCCTTCAGTTAATGCACCATTAAATGTGTCTAGAGACGAATTTTGGCTGTTTTATTAGAAAACGAGATACAATTTTACCATAGAAAATTCTGTTTTTCTACTGCAATTTTTAAACGGTAAGACATAGAAAGAAAACTTAAATATGTAAATGTTTGTTTAAAAGGACCTTTTACATGGTATGAAATTTGTTATACCTTACTATTTAAGAATTTTGAGTTTTAAGCTTTCTTTTATTCTTAAAATTTGAGATTTTTTTTAAAATTAGAAAATAACATGGAAAATGCCATTACTACAAGTTATCTTGAAGAGTAGCTCAAGAATAAGCTTGGAAAGAAATTTGGCGCTGATCCGTTCAGTAGTTAAGGTAGTACGGTAGTTAACTTCAAAGTCCTTTTTTAATACGTTTTGACCCACCCTTTGAATACGGTTAGAGATAATTACATTTTTTTGCACCAAAATGATCGGGGTGATTAGACCTTTAAATTGATGTATCACACAACCCATGTTTACATTTGAAAATTTCTCAAAAAGGACCCCTACCCCCCCAATTTAAACCCTTTTGGGGCATTTTTCAAAATCGAAAATAATTTTATTGGATGTCCAAATTAGGGGGAAATGAGAACAAAAAAGTGTTAACATCCTCAACTTTGCACACAACAGATATGGAAAGTTTTCAAATGAACACCCTACCCTGTTTATAAAACTAAAGATAGGCATATTATTTCAAAATCCTATTAAAATCTTTATCTTAGTTTTCACATGTTGTGAACGCACGAAAGGTAGGATTAATGAAAGAAGGAAGTGTTTTGTAGTAATTAAGTTGCCGAGAGAGGGAATGGGAGGGGTTGAAACTAAAGCCGGCACACAGTAGCTCAGGGGTGGTCTTTGAACAAACATCCAAATCACATCAGTCGTACCCCCCTGCCGGCCCCGTTGCCAGAAACTAAACCGCACACTTGTCACGAATCTTGGGAGAGTTAGATATATATCCAGTTTATTTTTATTTTTTTGATACTTGTTTATAATATACAAACTACTACCTTAGAACTCAGACAAAAAATGGCTTTTTACAGTAATCTAAAATTTTCAAAACATATTATCTTCCTCTTTGGTAAACTTAGAGGCTTACAGTAGCGATTGTAAAAGCTTACAAAACTGCAGCTTTAAGCACACATAAGAAAAAAAAAATAAGAACTCCTATCATTTTTTACACAGACCTGCTAGGACGTATTCTTATTTCTCGTGGAACATAATAATATTAAACTGACCATGATATAATTTTCCAAGATCACACTACGATACATATGAACATCCATCGTGGGGACTGGGGACATCATGATGGTCCCCCACCAACGTTGAGAAACTGTGGCAATCTTCTACTAGTTATAACGGGTACATCATAGATAGTACAAAGGCCGAAGCCTTTTAAAATTTGTACGTGAACCAAGAAACGTATCAATCGTCTGTCTCCCATGATCACCAACAAATCTGGAACACGTCTCCGTTATAGAAATCGTCTCATTCTGTCGCTGCTCCAACCTCCAAGTCCCGAAATGTTGGGATAATTTATTATTAGTTTTGTTCCAATTTTTGGGATTCCCGCATACTTAATTCTTATAGGAATAATTATACATTTTCGGGGGAGGGGAGCAAAGAACTTAAAAAAACTAATATTTGTCACGTCAGTTGTGAATGGGGGTAAAATTCTACTACCCCAAAATTATACATAATTTTTCAATAAGTTCAATCAGTCTAACTGGCAAGAATCTTTAAAAAGTAATATGTTTATATACAGTATCCAGTTCTAATGCTAATAATCTATGCTAATAACTATTCATTAATTTAAAATATCAGAGCTAATCAATCAATCAATGACGAAACACTAACGTTTAAAAAATGTCTCATACTTTAGCTCTGAAAGAATTGGAGAATCGTCCAAGCCTGAAAAAATTGGGAGCTATTGTAACTTAAAATTATTCGGAGCCGGAGCTTTTACAGCTAAAGTGATCCGTAGTAAAAAGTACGGAGTTAAATGATCCGAAGTTATGGGACCCATGGAGTGGGAGCTATGAGCTATGGGACTCCACGTTAAAAAGGAAAGGTGTTTTACTTTACTACTGTACCAGCTTCCCAGCTGTAGAAATATTGCCCTCTGCTGAACTGACAGATGTTTTTAAAACCCAATTGAAAACAAAAAACAATAGGCTAACCAAAACCAACCAGCTCAGCTCCTCATCTAACCAAAATCTAAAAAAATCACAATCACAATGGCTGCCAGCGAAGAATCGGACTGTTTAGGAAGTTGGGAGGAAATGGCAGATTCAGGGGTATAGAAAATTCCAATTTATTCTTCTGTTAGATATTACAACGTAGCTTATTACATAAATTGTCAAATTTCATGGTTATTTCACTTAGCATAACATGTGTGGTGGTTTTGTTACAGGCTAGGGTTGATGCGTGCTCTGTAACCTAATTTCATTCAACTAAGTTAGAGAAACATCATGTTCACTAATTTTCCTTACAAATAGCAGGAAATATGTTTAGAGTAGAGCTATTTTATATGCTTTTTGCAATATCATTGGTTCATTGAGAATTGATTTCTAAAGGCCTATCAGAATTAACATCTTGACCCTAAGGTTATGTATGGCATCATCAAACCCTTATCATAAGTCAATCATTATTAGGTATTGTTTTTTTAAGACATGGACAAAGCATACCTAAGTGTGTATTTTAAGCTGAATAAGAATAAATAGCCTAAATGATTTGAGTGTAGCCTATAAAAGTGAGATCTGTGAAACAAATTTGCTAAGTTAAGTTATTTAAGCTGTTTTTATCCTGGACCACTAGGCCTAGGCCTACCTGCCTCATTCAATTTACTAAATTTAAAGGTGCGTCCACACTTGGCAAATAATGATTGCTAACAAGTTGCTGTTCGCCAGCAAACGTTTGATGTTCACTAGGTGTGGACGCATCAACAAACGTTCTGGGTTAGGGTAGTGTTTCAAACATTTTTTAGCCTAAATGCAGCTTATGTAAATAGGAGAGAGCACCCCTTTGTGTTACGGCCCATTGCAGCCTGTTTCTTTTGCGACTATAAAGTAAAAGTGTGTGTAGTTTTTGTGATTTAGTGGGTACCGTAAGTTAGTGATTTTGGAATAAAGACCAGTTTTGGTAGGTACAGGTAGCAAAATTGTTAGAGAAGTGGCAACCAGCTATCAAGTCTGCTTTATAGTGTTGTCCACTATATTCATCCTCTTCTTTAAGTCTCTGCCACCACTGACATCTAACTTATGCAGCAGAAACAACAGCAACTTACCGTACAAGCAAGTATTAACTTAAATGCTGAACCCAACGCACATTAATTTCGTCTTGAAAACTTAAATACTGAGTTTAGAGCGAACATCAACTTATTGTTCATTGAACAGCTTAGCCCTAAATAAATTATCAGCAAACGTTTTAACTTATAGTCTTTCTAGTTTGGCTTACAAATTAGGCCTATGTTCAACAAACATGTTTGTCTAGTATTTTGGCGCCCCCTTAAGATAGGTAGGCCTACCGTAAGTTGGCCTCTAGGTTGGTTAGGTACCGTAAGTTAACTATGTTAGTTAGCTTCCTACTTAGCCTGCCTACTTTTTGCTACCCAAGCACTTGCTATACAAACACCCCTAATACAAACCATACTTGCAGGTTCTGGACAAGCAAATTGCTCAGATGCAAGCAGCAAATGTGTCAAACGAAGGAGATAAGCTTAACAGGTGGGGTTTTACTAGACAACAAAAAGTGAGTTATACGTATAGTGTCTTAAGTGGTCTATCCAACTTAAAAAAGTTTATTTAAAATAACTTAAGCAGTTAAGTTAGTTTTGTATTAAAATCATGATGGTCTTGCTTATTCAATTTTACTAGCCTATAATAATTTACCCTAGGTGATTGAATAGAATAATTCCTTTTAAGTTAGTTAAATATGCATGTTCAAATTCCCCGTTTTCTGGAGGGTTTCTGTTTCTTCAACAGTTTTGTTTTGACATCGTCTGTAGGCCTAGGTAGGGCGTACTGTTGTAGGTGGTATAGCTTCCTCCGATTCCTTCCTACCCAAGCTTCTTTGGTGGTTAAAATTGCTTTGGCAACTGGAATTAGCTCCAAATTAAGTAGAGCCATCTTCAGGGTGTTCATGGAGCACAGTCTAGAATCAACTTCTATCGGTTCTACATCTGGTTTTATCAGCTGATTTACATGTTCATTTTATGTTAAAAACAATATGTACTTTTCTGTGTGTATTTATGTTGACAAAACTGTACATTTTTATGTTTAAATTTGACGGTCTTCTGCAGAATATGACCAAAGTAGAACGGCGATGTACAGCCTACAGATGGCTCCATTTCGAAGCAGAAACTAAAGGTTATTGGTAGAAGCGATTTTAAAGATTAGCCTCCTCTTTAAGCAGGTATATTTACTCCATTTTCATTATTGGTAATCCTGAGGTTATAACATCATCATAAAATATCTTTTAAATTAACTTTTAACTTCCATCCGTAGCTTTCTAACTGTCAAATCTTTAAGGTCAGAAAGCTCTTGAATCCTTATTTTGATGACAAGTCTAAATTTGTTGCTACTGTTTCAGTCCTTTGCTCTTTTATATTCAAACTTATCAACCTATTTCGTAAACTGTTATTCATTGGTTTTAGTCTATATTTTTTCAAGGAATAAGTTAGGTAGGTTGTGGTCTAAAGCACACTATGTAGGCCTACCAACTACAAACTACTAGTTAAGAACACAGACCAAATAGCCTAAGTTAAGACTTTAAAATATTTGGTTTTGAAAAAATAACCGTTATATACGTACAGTAGTAGAAAAATTAGTTTCATGCAAAATGAAAATTTCATCTGTAGTAATCTATAATAATTTCTGCTGTTTTGTTGTCAGGAGTACCGATAGCAAACCGCTTGTAATATTTCATGAAGAGGAAGGTCGTACGAGATTTTCCCCTGCTGAACCCACCGTAAAGATTCTCAAGAGACCTACCAATGGGACAGAAACGTTAGCAGTCAACGGCGATTCTAGCAAGACTCCCAAAGTGCCTCTTAAGACCTACGAAGAGGTAAAATAGATAGATTTTGCATGCTTAACAGTACTACAGTAAAAATTGTTTAACACGTTCAGTGCGACAGGTATTAAAACAGGCGCTCGCCAATAGCGGCGAAGCCCCGGCGCGGCACCGTAACAGCGAATGCAATTGGCATTAAAATATTTCAATCTGACGAATAACAAAAGAGCAGCGGTGATTGTACTATGTTACCCCGAGATTGGACGTAGTTCCATAAAACACCCAAAGGTAGCAACTGCCTGGATCAGTAGTCAGTGGCCTTGTAATATGGCTTGAAGAGAGAAAATCCCCGAAACCGGGACAAAAGCATTGTCAGTCGGGATTTTACAGGAAATTTTAGTACCAACCTACACCAAAATAAAGCTCACATTCTAAGCTACAGGCTAGCAATGATTTTAACATTCCCGGGCAATGGCTGAGCTAATACTGAACTTATGTAGTAGGGGTTGCGCAACTACATCAATTGATGTAGGCCGGTAGGAGCGCTCGTGGCGCTACTACATCAATTGATGTTGTCAGCACTGAATGTGTTAAAACCAATACTCTAAATGAATTGTGAGAAAATTAATACTAGACACCTACAAGCTTGTTATAAACTTCCTTCATAACTTAGGCCTACATTTGGGTAAACTACATTCCGAATGTTTTTATAGAAATAGGCTACAAACCTATAGATAGGCACCTATGGGTAGGCCTACTTGTTTCTTTGTCTGTTGTAGGAGTCATCTTTAATGTCTTTGGCCAGACATTTTTTCAAGATTATTTATGTTATTACCTATATATGATTTAATAAAGTTATAAGCTTTCAAATTATCATGTGTGTTTCAGAGAGAGTTAGCATATGCTGAAGCCAGGTTACGCATAATGGGAGAAGCCCGTAGTCCGGAAGAAGAATCTTCCATAGAGGAGAAGTAAGTAGGCCTATTTGAAAACTTATATTTATTTTCAATATCTCGTGTCTAATTAAAAAAACAATTAACAATGAGATAAATAATACTTCAGCATTGTAGGTAGCGTATCGATGTGAACCAACTTGACGAATCGAGTTGTTTGATATTTCAAAGCCAAGAATGGATTTATTTCCAGGTACCTTTTGGGAAAATACATTTATCAATCTTCAGGCAGGATTACATATTTAATTCAGGATTTTCTTGGACCGAGATTGGTTTCAACTGACTGAGAGTTTCTGCAATCCCAAGTGACAGTGATGACATGTTCAGACGGATTGTGGGAGATGTTAACAATTTCGCCAATATGGTGGGGGTTTTTTAGCGATAGAGGGAGATAATAATTACTAGATTAGTTACGATGATATTGCGATTAATAATACACATTAGGCCTACATACTTTATGATATGATAGGCCTACTAAAGCCAAAGCAGATAGCCTATTGCTTTTCTACTGGTAACCATCAGACATGCCTAAACTCAATAGTGATCTGTATAAAATAAATAAGCCATCTGTTTGTAATTAGCTAGAGGGATTGCTTCAATAAGACTTATGTTTCACAGTTTTAATGCACCATAGATGTAATTTTTATTTTTTTGGAAGCAGTTTTTGTTACCACCTATGTATTTTCATCCATTGTTATTTTTAATAAAACGTGCAATATATGCCTACTGCAATTTTTCAAATGTATATTTTCACACAAGATTTTTAAAACAAATTAGAGTTTTCCTTGTTTTAAGAAAAGTCTTGTCTCATATCTTTCTGATTAGGAAGATTCTGTGAGAAGCTTTTAACAAACCTAGGTTAACCTTCTGTTAATTATGGTTACAACATTTTTATCTTTTTTTTGGGGGGAAATTTATATTATTGCAACATATACAGGAAGTGGAAGAGAGAGCATTAAAGGGACTTATTACCTCACAAGGGTGACTGGAGCTAATTTATGATGATGTCATTTATTCCAGTAACATTCTGGATGTTTCTTTGTATGTAACCTAATACCATTGACTATTGGATACAGAATTGTTTTTGTATTAATAGTCTAAGCTAATACCTAAAAAAGTAACATTCAGGGCCAGATTTACTTTCATCCTTTTAGGTGCTAACCAATGAATACAAACCATTTAAGAAGCGCAATGCATTCGTAAAAATTCAGTCTGAAAATATTTGAATTTTCGATAATTTCCGCTTCGGCCGCTAGGTAGACTATTGCGAGCGTGTATCCAAGTCAGCTAACTGAGTGTTCATTGTGCACATTAAGCGTTGTTTGTATAAAAACAGACATCATCATCTATCAGTTAACTAGATCCATCTAATTTTTTATCCATTTCCAGGAAAATCCAAAAAGCGCCTAGAATAGACATTCTTAGAGTGAAGGAAACCACTACTACTATCATCAGACACCCGCGGGGGCCGGATGAAACATCCGGGTTCACTCTACAACGGTAGCATTTCAACCATCTTACCATATCTGTGTTTAAATATAAATGCTTTACCCTACCGATTCTCAGAATTTCATAGTTGTATGATTTGTTTGCTTTTTATTTATTGACTAAACATTGCTTTTAATAGCAGTAAAAATTTGAACAAATATGTTTTAAAAGAATAGCCTTATCTACAGTAACTCTTTAAATGCTTTAACACAAGTATTAAAAAAAATCAATTTGCAAATAATTACATCATATACTTTGCCTAAGGTTAGGGTATTTTGTACTACTTTGTCACCTAGGGTCCTTTGCTACCTTTTTTGTAGGGTCTTTGTATTTATCTTAAAAGTCTAAACAGTGTAAATGCAAACTAATTGTAAACTATTTAACAATATCCAAACAAGATACCTACAATATGTAGATTTACATATGAAAGAGTAAAAAAATTGTTCTTTATTGTTTGAGACTGGTTATTCATTTCTTTGCATTCAAATTTCTTTGTTTTTAGAACATTCTTTACAGTTCAAAGTTTTGTTTGAAAAAGGTTTTTTAAATATCACTTGAAAATGTGCTTGTGACAACACATTGGTTAATCCTTAATGTTTGAATGAATGTAAACTAGTAGTTATTTTCCTTTTAACTAGAGGTGTGCGGATTGTGAAATTTCATTTTGGATTGGATTTAGGTTGGACATTTAAGGCTTGGTTCGGTTCGGATATTGAGAGGTTCGGATTTGGATAGCTAAAATATACGCTTAAGTACTTTAATAACATATTATTAATATTAAGGTTAATTGAGTGGAGCAAGCAAAGCTCTTATAATAATATCCGACTCCTGCTTTTGTTTTACAAAACTCTTACTGAACGGCTGAAGCAATCCACTTGAAATTTAGCAGTCATAGTAACCAACCATGGAAAGATATAAAATGTGAAATGGTACAAATCGTACTAAAGAGCTTTTCTCTATGTGAATGTAAGTTTTTAGAAATTTACATGGACCTTGTGGGTTTATTGGATGCTATGACATTATTTTCAAGATAAAAATAAAAAGGTAGGCCCAAACATAAGAGTCGTAACATATGTTAGTCAACGAACCATCTAAACTAGCGTATCCCCACAGATAATGCCTATAAATATCCACAATTTGTGACGTCCAAATAGCTGGATTACAGGATGTCGACAAAATCTATCCGAAAAAATCGGATATCTAACGGACAGTGTCAGATATCAAATTTTGGCTCAGGTCTGATTCGCATATCCGAGAAGAACCAAATCCAAACCGATTTTTTGGATCCCCGCACACTTCTAATTTTAACTCTAAATTCAAAACATTATAACATTAAGGTACATAAAATAAAAGATGATAAAGGCTTTTCTTTTGATGATTGTGAGAACTTTGATTTGATTTGAGAAAGAATTTTGATTTGTTTTATAGACTGACTGAACCATTTGTTTATATGTAACAACAACCTAAAAATGTGAAGGCAGGATGATGTAAGATGATGTGATCTGATTGTGCTGGTTTAAAGTTCACAACGTAATTTTGTTTTGAAATTTTAAATAAACTAGGTAAATAGTACATATAAATAAATTGAGATTTTCCGAGTGATTTGATATCTTGGTTAAAGTTATTTTTAGTTAATTATTGAGGAAAAAACTGAAATCAATATTTAATATTTTAACTTTCTAAATTTATATTTTGGAAGATAGCAATTTGTTTTTGGTGTCAATTTACGCTCATCGTTTGAGTGTGCGTACATTATCTTGCCTCGATTGGCCAGACTATTTCGGGCCTTATTTTGGGTCAAGACTAGAAATGGTCGTTAAAAGGTTGTAAAGTTATGTTTTTGTATTTTTAATCGTATTAGGCTTAGATATTTATTTATGTATCTTTGTAAGAAAGTTAATCTCTAGATCTTACTTAATCCTTAAGTCCTGCAAATGTACCATCGAACAAATAAGAGTGCATTAATTAGATTGGAAGGAACTTCTTTTATCAAATTATTTATGTTGAAATCTTGTTGTAAAATTTTGTTGCTACTAAACATTACTGCTGGGATAAGAATGGTGTCTCTAATTTCATAGATTTGCTAACTAGCCCATTGATGCCGTAATCTTTTTTTAAGTATTAAATACCAGTTCTTGCTTTTGCAAATTACAAATGTTTCTCTCTCTATACACTAATCAAAAGCTTAATCTTAGTACATTTGTTGATACACAGTCCTTTTTGTTGATTTAACCGTTGTGGTGGAGTTGTGGGGATAAATTGTTTTTAAAATGTATTTTAAACCTAAGTAGTATCCAAAAAAGTCTTTCTTAAAGATTTTGAAATAATTATTTAATATATTTTTCGCATACACTGTTATGAAAGGAACTGTTTAAAAATATTTACTATGCAAAAGTAATGTTTACTATCTTTTGTGGATTTTGCCAACATAAACAAACAAAGATTTGTTATTGTTTTGCCAAATATTTCAATTTGCAACAACCATAACTGTACAATCAATGTAAATATTTTAACTTTAAATTGAAGGCATTACCTTAAAAATAATGCTAAGAAGAATTTTGTAATGTTCCTAACTGTAATAAAAAAATATCCAATTTCTGCTTTAATTAAGAAAATTTAATTAACCATGGTAACGGGGTTTTGTGGGGTAAAAATAGTTTTTTCTAATTTTGACCATCTAAAAACATAATTTCCCAATTTCTCTCCAGACCTTTTAAAGGGCTTAAAAAACAAATTGTTTAATAATTTAGTATATCAAAGTGTTTTGTACAATTATTGGAGAAAATAAAAAAAAATTAAATTTTAAATTGCCATGTTATTCTTACAAAGAATAAGTTATTGTAGGCTAAAATGTTGTAGTTTGCTTGTTTATTGATATATTTTGATCAAACTTGGTAAATTTATTTATTTTTGCTAAGTTATTAATATTTTACTAAAACACACTTTTTTACCCTTCCTGTAGCAGCAAGCCTAGGTACTCATTAAACCTGATGTTAATTAAATATATTTAATTGAAAATCAATTCAGGCAAATGGAAATTCGCATAGTCGGTAGGTTTGCTGCGACAGCAATATTTATTTTGTATATAATTTTGAACTGAAGCATGTAAATAATGTGTACAGTTTGTGCATTTGTTGATTACTCTATGAGTTACATTGAGTAATGTTATGTGTCTGAATGTACCTTCTAAAATAGAAGGATTTATATTGAAATAAAAGCATACATTTATATGTTTGTTCTTCTATTTTGTGTTTTTAGAGTTAATCCCTTCCGTCTTATTGATTTAATAGATCCAAACAATAAAAATTCTGTGCATTTTAAAATTTCAACTTTTTAAAATAGTGAATATACCAGCTGACAGTAAACCATAAACAGCGTAAACAAGTTATGTATGGTTCCATCTTCTGGCTATACTAGGAATGTTTCTCTTGTAGCCATTTTTAAGATTATAAAAAAAGTTCACTTATGATGATATACTTATGTAATATAGTACAGAAACAAGTAAACATAAAAAATCTGCTAATTTTGCAAGATTTTAACATAACAGAAGTTGAGTTAGATGGCTGTGTCTACACGTATTGTTTTTCTGTAAAAGTTACGGCGATGTTAATAAAATTTTTAAAAGACCGTAAGGAGGTATAGGACATTATCAATATTTATCTCTGATCCAAAAGTAATACTTTAGATGCTACTCCAATACATGAGTTTATTTTTTCAATTAACTCTGTACAACATTTTGAATCAATGAAAAAAGTCCTCAGCATCTCTTGATAATGAACACTCATCCAGAATATTTAGGAAAATATAAAAGCTTGCAAATATCAGAAAATCTCATAAAAATGGGATGTTTGTAGGTACTTATACTTTACTATAGTGAGGTTATGGAGGCGGGTTATGGTGTTTCAATTTGAAACGTCCAAGAAATTTAACAGATTGAAAGAGGACAAATCGCTTTTCCCAATAAGAGTAAGTACAAAAAAAAGATTTAAAAAATACAAAAATAAGGAAATACAATCTGTCAAAAATATCAAAATCCTATTTTGCCCAACAGTAAGCCAAATAAAAAAACCTCAGTACATAACTCAAAGATTTGTAAGTTTAAGTTTACAGTTGTCAATCAACAAGAATGCAGATGCAAAGTGGATGTTTTAACTTAACTGACCAACAGGATACAAATTAGGCTCTGTGATTGAAAAAAGCAATGAAATCATTATCTCAGAGGAAAAAATTATTTTGAATTCTTTAAAACTACGACACACATATATGAGCTTTAAACCTTTGTTTAATCTCACAAAACTTTGGCTGTATCACCTTCCAGAATTATTGTAAATAAGTTATTATTTACAATTCTAAGTTCATCACAGATAGAGCTAATTTTCCATTAGGTGAGCTGGAATTCTCTTCAGTCATTATAGCTTCTCTTAAGCTTAAATGAGTTTAAAACAACCTGATCTGAACTGGTTTGACTGACTTCTGTAAACAAACAGGTTATGTAACCAACAACAGGTGAGATTATGTCCAGTTGCCCTTGTGGAAAAAGTCACATCTTTCAGTATTGTTTTGGTTTAAGAAACACAAGTAGTTGATTAGAGGTAAATTATATAGTGTAAGTTTTCTTGTTAACCATTATGAATAGATTTTCGGTTTATTGTGTTTCACTAGAGTTTTTCATGTTATGTTTTTTTTTTGTCCTGTGAAATAAACTGGTCAGAGTATTAATGTTTAAAAATCTGTCTTAGGATACAAATAGTGGAAATAAACCTAAATCAAAATGGGTAAAATCCCTAAAATTGTAATAATTGTAATTTTGAATTACAATGTTTAAAGCATTGCATTTGCACACTTTTGTTTAAAGCTAAAAGCACATAACATACTGAATTATAATCAAAATTGTCTGAGTTATTTTTTTGAAAATCTGATTATTCTGTATTTTATTGGGTTTTATAAGAAAATCACCGTTACAAAAATAAAACAACAAATATACCAGGAGATAACTCAGATTAGCATCCAAATAAATACCAAATTTAATCAAAATCATAGCTCTCTCTCGTCTCTCTACGCATCCACACGCACAGACGTCACTTAAAAAACCACTTTTTAGGGTTCAGGGAAATCCAAAATTAATATCCACCCGAAACTTCCAACTCTGAAATTTTGACGATAACAATACAAGTTACTAGTGTAAAGGGGAAGAAAGCAGAAAGTATAGTTTTTTATTATAAGTGCACATGTGAAACAGTTTAACATTTTGTTTTGGGCATTGAAACTCTCTCGGTTACTCTTAGATACGTAGAAGCATTCGTTAAGCACTATTTTAGCCTACATTTGAACGTAAATGTTGATATGTTTGTATTCAAGCAGATGTCTACAAGACATGATAAGGCTATTCTGGATGCAATATTTAACCCTTACCTACCCTTGGGTGAGGGGACTGTTCTTCAACAAGAATGCAATTTGAAAGGTCAGTGTCAACGTCAACTTTATGTTAGTGCATTAAAAGTGCGTTCCTCAACATTATACACAATACAATAAAGACTTTGGAGGAATCAGAATTGGCTGCCAAACTAAAATAAGCGACCATCTATAAGTTGTTATTTTTTTTATGGACTTAAAAAACATGAAATAGCTCACTGTCCCCTGCAGATGAGGTGCTTTGGATAAGCTCAAAATACTCGAAAGACAATTCAAGTTACATTGTCCACAGCAGATTCACTTTAAAAAAAATCATTTGCAAATGTTAATTATGAATTCTAGCCCACCCAAAAGTCAACTTGTACAGAATTATTTTTAAAAGGCATGTTTTAAGGTGAAGTATACATCTTTCTTTGGTAACTATTTTGTAGACTTGACTCATCTTTTTTTTATTGTCTAGTGGTGTATATACAGGAAACTTATATTAGTCGTAGAGAACTCTGAGGTTTTGCCAAACCTGCATAAAGTACTGCTTCCTTCAGATTATACAAAAATGTATTTTTATCTTGCACATAGGTCGAACACTTAATTACAACTGATTGCAGTAGTAAAGAACTAGTAAATTAGACAGTTCAGTCATGGTTAGGCGTTCGCCCTTCGTGCGGCATGTAAAAAAGTGTTTATAACCCTGAGGAAGCAGTATATTAACTGTAGACATGAATTGTTCTGCAATGAGATGTTCCTTTCGCCATGTACAGTCAGTGATATTTATATGTTACAGACGAATCAAACGAGACTGAAGGCCTCGTAACCCAGGAGGAGTTGGAGGCTAAAACTCTCGAAGCAGAGGCCGTGAGAAAAGCTGAGTCTGGGATTTTAACCGAGGCTGTGGAAATGTTTAGCTTAGCCTTAAAGTTAGCGCCTGGGAGAGCTTCTATATACAACAATCGAGCCCAGGCATATCGGCTGTTGGGTGATGATACTGGTTAGTAAAGTTTTTGTGTCAAAACTAACACTAAGGGATCGCTTAAGCAATCTGTTGGTTTTTATTTATACTAATTATAGGACTCTTTACAAAAACATTATCATTTGGCTTTAGTACTTGGAGTTCTTTACAGGGAAAGTACTCCTCCCTAACAGACCTGTCCTTTGTTGTTTTCTACATTACTGGTGGTTTTCTAGGATGATGGGTCAAGGGAGCAATTTTAATGGGTCATGTAACAATCACGTAGCTAGCACAACACACACATGTAAAAATCAAAATAGCACCAAGCGAGTAGCAAATGTTCAAATATATTCAGTATATTCTAAATCCAACAGTGATAAGCATGATTGTTAGCTTCAACGTAGGGATGTTCAAATCCTAAATGTAGGCTTACTTGCATTGTTACTTGTGTAAAGAATACCTATTTGATCAAAATATAAGCAATGATGCATGCAGCTTATAGGTTTTCCTTTAAATCGGGCCTATTAGGTTATCTAACTGGGCCCTGTGGGGTTGGTTAAGTTAAAAGATGGTCTTACTCCTACTTTATTAGGAATTTGTATCTAGTAATAAAGGTAAATATGTGTTAACATCAATCCAGAAACTTAAGCTTCACTTAAACCTACTTGATCAGATAGCGTAAATGTTTATTTCACTATATCGTACTTGGATCAATGTATTGTTTGTTACAGCTGCCCTTCAAGACCTGAATCGCGCGATAGAGTTGAGTTGTGGCCAAGGAGAGGTGGCGCGGTTGGCGCTGTGTCAGCGCGCTCTGCTACATCGGCGCCAGGGAAATAATACATCAGCTGGTGCCGACCTACGTGCTGCTGCAGCACTTGGCAGTGACTTTGCCAAACAGCTGGTTAGTGCCCGACTGTCTAGTTTCTTGCGTTCTTTGTTTCTAAATTATTCTTTGTTGGACATAAAGTTGAAAGTTGTGCAAGCTCGGCACCCAAAAACCAGTCATTCCAAATTTCTTTGTGACCCTGTGAAAATGTTATTCAAGCTCCACATAACCCTACTTTGGAATATACATATACATCGATGTTGCTTACGACCTTGGTGTTGAACTAAAGAACTCTGTAACTTCAACCCTGTAAGTCGCTGTTGCCTTTTGGACTTGCGGACATTGAAACCGGAACTTGTGAGTCTGCATTCCTGATAACTAGAGCACTAGCCTTCAAGTCAATCAACACCATAACCTTAAATTTTATGAATAAACTAAGTTCTTCAACAATCTAATATCATGTCTCATTTTTAATTCTTAATCCATTTCCCTAATAATCCAGCATTACTCTTACTCAGCACCCTTGTCATAGTCATACACATCATGTTGCCTTTGTGGGATTGTACTCTAGTGTCTAAATTTACAGATTTTGGAACTTGGATTTTTCCAATGTGTTCATTCATCCAAAGAATGCCAGATTTGTGCCAGCAAAAGAAAAAATTACATCCAGTAAAAAGCAGGACAACTATTTAACCATGATACCAATGTTAATGTTCACAAGGAAATCACTGTTACTTAGATGGCTCTTTAAGAATATTGTCCAGTCTATAATCAACATAAGTTTTATGTAGAACTAAACCATTAAATCAATATATTAAAAGTAAAAAATTACTTGTATCTACAAGTAGGATCATTTAATTGTTTTTAGTAGTTTATTTTCTTTTTAAATTTTAACATTTAAGTATTTTTTTCTGTTTCAGCTTGTGCAGATGAATCCCTATGCTGCAATGTGCAACCAAATGCTTAAACAAATGTTTACCAAACAGAACCAAAGGGTAGGCCTAAATCAATAATCAATAACTTAATTGGTTTCAGAAGTAGGTAGTAATTCTGAAACTTATATCTAAATTTAAATAAGCCTTATTAATTTTTTAAAGATTTATTTCATTATGAAACAAAATCTGGAATATAACCGTAACTTAGTTATATGAGCACATATTATAATATTTTTTAATTTTTATTACTTGTTATCAGATTGGTTTTAGATATTTTAATGTCTTGCACTAACAACTCTTCGATAGGTGTCAGTATTATGTCTTCACTGTGTTTGAATTGAAATTCAATAAAATGTATATTTAAGTATTGATTTTAAGGGCAAAAAAAGATGTTATGTGGTAATAAGATGTAGTAATATTGTTTAGTTGATTTGTGAGGTATTACACTGTTAAAATAAAATATTGATAAAAAATGTTTAATAGTTTTCATTGTAACCACAACACTTGTTTCAAATACTGACTAGAGGTAGACACTTTTTGCTAATTAATTAGTCACCTTGGGTACTAGTAAAAATTAAAATGTACTCCCGCCACAGCAAACCTGCAGACTAAGCGAATTTCCATCTACCTTGCTGGAATTTCACTAAATTTTTCCTTTAAATTGACAGATTAAAAAATAACACTGTATAGTCCGATCATGCTGGTTCGCAAGCTCGTTCCAATAGATGTAGGTTTACACAATTAAACCAAATTTTATCAAAATCGGATCATTTTAGCTCAAGTTATCGTGCTAACGGACACATATATAAATAAATATATATGAATTTGAACGGATGGTGTTTTGGCCTCTGGAGACCTCAAAACAAAAAAGTATATCAGTCCAGGTCTTACCATGAGACATCTGAGACGCTATCCACTAGGCTACACAACCACCAGTGATGAATGAATGATATGAAAGTCTTGTTTATTTATTTATTTATTTATTTCAACGGACATCTCCATTTTACAGCATACAAAACAAAACAATAAACTCAGGATGACTTAAATTGATAATAACAATTTTTGTGCTTAATATTAGAAATGAATGAACAATATATAATGATCTAATAACAAACAACAGTAACAATGCCAAACCTAGCCAAACAAAACAAAAACTGACAAAATAACAAAAGGTATACAAATAAATAATAATTTCAAACAACAACAATAAATAAAAAATATGAAACAATAACAGCAAACCTACCATCAACAATAACAAATGATAAAGATAAATATATAGATTGACTAATAGAAATGTTTAAGTGAAATTTTTAACAGACAAGAGTAACAGTTTGAACAACAAAAAACAATTTTTAATTAGGACTGACTGAGACTGATGATCTTCTTTTTCAGTATATTTACGCTGTCTTGAAAAAAGTCGACATGCCTTGTCACTTTGTTGCCAGCTCCCTGGACTCGAACCATCGTGCTGTTTGCTGAGTAGCTAGTGTGGTGCTGTTGCTTGATAAACAGATCAGTCGACCTTGTGTTGGAAGGAGTCTTTAAATTGATTTGGCGGAGCATGTCAGGACAGTCGACTCTTCCGTTGATAATCTTGTGCAGCAGGACCGTGTCAGCAATGAGTCTACGTTCCTCCAGCGACTGAAGACCAAGTGCCAGGGATATAGTGTCAATGGGCACCTGAAGGTATGGGAATCCCATCTTGAAGCCCACCATTCGAACAAATCTTCGTTGAATTTTCTCCAGCTCATTTATTAATAACTTTTGATGAGGACTCCATATTGGTGAACTATATTCGAGAGTTTGCCTCACCAAGGCACAGTAAAGGGACTTTAGAGCTTCTGAACCGCTGAGCTGCTTTGAGAAACGGAAGATGAAACCGAGCGTTCTGTTTGCTCTACAGCATAAATCCAATACATGAGCTTGATAGTTCAATGAGGGCGTCAAGATGATGCCGAGGTCCTTAACTTGCTGCACTCGGTCAATATTTATGTTGCGAACTGAATAATTGTAGTTCATAGGGACTTTACAGCGATGAAAAGTAATGACCTGGCACTTCTTGATATTCAAATTCATCCTGTTGTCCTCACACCAACGATCAAGACTAGTCAGATCTCTCTGAATCCGGAGGCAGTCATCTAAAGAAGATATAGTTGAGAAAATCTTAACATCGTCAGCGAAAAGCAGAGATTCGTTCTGAAGTGCGTCAGGGAGGTCATTAATGAAGACTGTGAAGAGATACGGACCAAGTAACGATCCCTGGGGTACCCCTGAGTAGGAAACAAATTCAGAGGAGAGAGCCGACGCATACTTGACATTGAGACGACGGTCAGACAGATAACTGGCCAGCCACCTGACGAATTTGTTTCCAAAGCCGTGGTCCTGAATTTTCCGCAGCAGAAGGGTGTGGTCCACCGTATCGAAGGCTTTGGAGAAATCCAAATAAACAGCATCAAGTTGTTTGTTTGAGGCAAAGGCTTGTTGAACTCGGGTTTGGAGAAGAATCAAGTTAGACACTGTTGATCTTCCTGTTGTAAAACCATGCTGTTGAGAGCATACAATCCCTGCAAGTTTATGTTTGATTCGATCAAGGACAAGGTCTTCAAAAACTTTAGATATAGAGGAAAGAATCGAGATTGGCCTACAGTTAGCAACATTTTCAACTGGACCAGTCTTATGAATCGGTACCACATAAGCCCTTTTGAATGCATCAGGAAAGATACCAGTGTCCATTGAGGCATTAAATATGTCACAGATTGGTGGAGCCAGTAAACACCTGTTGTGTTTCAATACCCTTGGAGGTATGCCATCAGGACCCCAACCTTTAGTGTGTACCGATTCAAAATGAATGACCAAATGAAAATTCAAATCAAACTGAAAACGCGCGAAGGCAAGGACCAACAACGGCCAATCACGTGAGCGCGGAGGAACACCAATTTGCTGACTTGTGCGGACGTCCTTTTCTAACGGTCACTTGGGACCAAGCTCTGAGCCGCGATGTACGGAAATCTTTAAATTCTCCTTTTCAATTTGCAAAAATCACTTTTGGTAGTCGTAACGTGTATTTCGTCAACGAATCAATTGTTCGATCTCCGGAGTGCATTGATATCTAAAACCGTGAAACAGCATTTACTAAATTACGAATTGAAACAAAACGAGTCTTTAAGTTCGACGTCGACCGGCAAAATTCGTCAGATTTGACCATTTTCGTAGAGCCTATCCCAAGTACAGTGTCGTAATTATATGTTTATGTGTCGTCAAAATTGTCTTCTGTGTATGTAAGTAAATGTTTTGTGTAAATTGTATTTATATCATTAGGAGAAGCCAATCTGTCCACATTCATATTTGTTTAATCATGTTTTTTGCAGGTTTCATGTCTTAGTGTGTAAATTCAGTCACATTGCTTTAGAATTATTGCCATTTACTTATTTTAAAATACATACTGTGATACATTTGTAGATATTGTTATATTAATAATTTGGGTAAATTTTTATACCAGTTAAATTTCATATTAGTTTTGTGCTTAAATTCAAATTATATTGTTAGGGTAATCAGCTGTCTGTCACGTAAATCTGTTACAATTTGTTCTTGCTTTAATATTTGGGTTTGAAATCACTTCAAAAATACATAAAGAGATCACTGAGAGTATTTGATTGGGTGCAAATTCAGGTTTCAATCAGAGCATTGTCCCGGTTGAAGGTTAGGTGTCAATACAGGCTACAAGGTAGGCTTCCATTAACGCCATAAAAATCATACTTTTAACTTAAATTAAACAAACGACTCAGTAGTCGTTTTGGTCCAGTTTGCTACTGAGCAACAAAGTGTGCTGTACACAGATCTACGAATAGCCCCTTTGCACATAAGATCAACTGGCCAGTTGTAAGTAAATACCATACTTTGGGAAGCCTAATAGCCTAAAACAGATTGAATAAATTAAACCTAGGTTCCCGAGGCTCTGCTGTCAATATTTCAGGAAAGAAAGTCAAAAAGACCACAATCAATACTCTCTCACATTAAATTGAAGTGTAATTAGTAGAAACTAGAATATTATTAATTATAGCTGAAACTTGAATATTATTAATTTTAGCAGAAACTTGAATATTAATATTGATTATTTGTAATATTTGTATTATTTATAGTGATAATACACAAAGCTTATTCTTTCATCAATTTTATTAATTCTCCTGTGTTAATCTTTTCAAGGTAATCGGCTTAACCGAACAATTGCAATAAAGTACAATATCATTAAGTAGTCAATTGACACATAATTTATTATATATTGGTTCATCAATATTTCGCATAATCGTTTCAATATTTCAGAGTCAAAACCAATGTTTTAACAAAGTTTCAACAAAGAGTGTAATTTTGCATTCAGAGTATTTGATATACTTTTTATTGCATCTTAAGAAGTGTTACGTTTAAGATTATTGAAAGCACTTTCAGGAGGACATATCAGACCTCTCAACGGTCCATAAATCGGACTTCTGGGATACACAATTATCAGGGCTCAATACAACATCTTACTTCCACTGCCGGCTCTGTGATTGGTCCTCAGTTGTCTGATCAACTAAATTAAATTCATTGAAACCCCACCAGGGGGCAACTTTTTGTTGTACTCACACCTATATGGAATAGCCAAATTGCATTACATAAAGGTGTGAGGCGATTTTAGTGATGGAATGATCAATTAATGTAAAGAGTATATTTTGAAGTAATAAGTAAGTAAAGAACGTTTATTTTTTTTCTTTACAAAAAGTGGTAGCACTAATATTGAGAGGTCTGGTAACAAGGCAGATTGGCTCTTCTACGGACAGATTGGCATAGATAAGATTGATATTGACCCTCAGAATCTTGTTATCTTGTCACTTGTTATCTTTAAGACAGATTATACCCGTTCATATTGCAGTGTTTACTTGGTTATTTATTATCTGTGTATATTTGTCCGTGATTGTTTATATTTATTTATAGGGAAAATTGAAACATTTTGTGAATTTATAAAACTGAGGTCGATTGCATTTTTGCGAATTTGATTTAAAAAAAAAAAAACTTTGCAATTCAAAAATGAGACGTCAATTGTACGGTCCCAATTACGTAACTACGGCAAGCGATAGGGCTCAGAGGATGGCAAGCAGGCGTCATGTGTCAGACGAAGGGCTTGTGTCCGGTAGGGTTGGTGCGTCACACGCAGAAACAGGAAACGTTCGTAGCAATCATGTCTCTCCCCCCCCCACCGATTCGTTCCGCGCTGGTCACGTCACATTTGTAGGAGAAGAAGTAGAGCGTATTGCGAACAATGTAGTCGGCGATTTGAACATGTCGAACAGTGATTGTTTGTTGGATTTAGATAATGACGTGTTGGAACAAGCTGTG